TTAGTGATTATAAATAGTAAAGTGCAGTATAATTGAATTGTGAATTACTGAGAAAATAAAGGACATTAGATAGAATCTTTATAACGAAAGAAACTGCAAATTAAGTTGGCGAGTTTTTATTTAACAATCCAGAGATCGTACCCGAAGGATCTAGAAAATAATCGAGGTTGATTTAGTAAAATCGTAACAATACTGTATATTTCTCTTCACTGGCAATACTTTAAGTATGACATGTGCAGACTAATTGCAGTAAAAAAATAAATGGTTGCGTATACAGTTTGCAAAATACTCGCAGCTGGCACAAGGTGCCGTAGCAATTTTCAAAATATTTTAAACAATCGGAACAACTTGGCTTTCGGCTAAAGGTAATGCACGCACTGTAGTCATCCGGTCCATATGAATTTGCAGTTAAGTATCTAATTATGATGAGTGAAACCAATGCAATTTAATGGACGTAGGTCCCAAGATAAAGAACATATGATGCAAAAAAATTCTGTGAAATAGATGAACTTTTACTCAAGCATATGCGTTCATCATTTCGTGAGTTTACACCAAATGGAAGATTTACCACTTTCCATTTATAGGAAAAAGGCTGTGCAGTTTTGATTAAAGTAATAATCAAAAAGAAATTATAAATTTTAAACTAAACAGAAAAACTATTTCTATATTGATAATTCATTTTTGGTTGACAGTAGCTATTGTACGGATATCAAAACTAAGAATTTTTAAGTTGATTTGAAGAAAACATCTGATATAACAACTTACTATTACGGAGAGACTCAATCTCATCTAACTGCCTCTGAAGTTCTGCAACAACAAGCTTTTTGTATTCATATCCAGCGCAGGTCAACGCTTTCATCCAAGACTCCATTACTTCTTGAGAATCTGCACTCAACACATACGTTCGATTACCATTGAAAGCTATCTCAAAACAATACTGATCGCTTTCTTCTGATAGCTCTGAAAATAAATTGAATAATTTAATATGCAAAGTTGTAATAAAAAAATTTTATTTGTATAATATTTCACATTTCTTACCTATTGTACAGCCTTCCACTATTATTAGACCTAATGGCTCTTTGTCATATTTTTTTTCGAAGTAAAATAATAGATTTCCTTTGAGCACAAAATATCTTCTTTGGAAAGCTTTATTGACCTCGCCTCTTTTATTTAAAAACCCTTCAAAATCATAAGGCGGTGTAGTGGCAAATAAACACAAGTTCTTTTCGTTAATTTTCATGGCTTACAAAAACTGAAATACTTTTTCGGAATAATCAGTTCACTCGTTAAGATATATTTCTTAGTAGGGCGCTTTTTGTACAGATTTTTCTATTATTCTTTCCGATTTTTTGACTATTTTTCTTATTTTCATGTCCATTCTGTTAAGAGGAGCACATGATAACAATACTCAAACAAAAGGAATTAATAATAATTTTTGGCGATACTTAGTTTAAAGTTCATATTTAAACAAAACCTACGATAAAAAGATATTTCGTAATTTGCAAATTTGTAAATAAAAGTTCCGAGCGAAATCGCATATTTAGGGATGTAACTATAAGATCGATTAGTCCATGTATCTATTTTATGATTTGTAACGAGCCGCGCCTTTGATCGAATAGCCAAGTATAAAGAAAATAAGCCGATAGATGCCACAATCAAAATCTAAAAAGCACCCGATATATCTTATTTACGTTGTTCAGGAACTTCCAAACCCGTTTCAAGTTTCCCTTAAATTCAAATAACCTGGCAAGAAACTTCCGATCATTTGAGCCAATATATGTCAGGAATGCAGAAATCACCCTTGACAAATTTTTCCCGACCTTTATACTGTTACGATTTTACTAAATCAACCTCGATTATTTTCTAGATCCTTCGGGTACGATCTCTAGATTGTTAAATAAAAACTTGCCAACTTAATTTGCAGTTTCTTTCGTTATAAAGAATTAATCTAATGTCCTTTATTTCCTCAATAATTAACAATTCAATTATAATGCACTTTACTATTTACAATCACTAGCATCAACTTTCACAATTTACTCTACTTAAATGTAATCTCCAACGAGTTTACTTTCCGACTTTACTGATGTTCACCAGTTCACTTTGTCACTAACTCACTTGGCAGCTGAGTGTCCCCTTATATAGCAGTCGGCTGCTCGCAGAAGAAAGCGTAGAAGCATCGATTTGTTCGCTACCGAAGGTTCTTGTTTTATCGTTTCTAGAATGTACTAGTTATCGGCTTCTCTCTTTCATCTGACATTCGCCTCGCATTTTCGCAACA